GAGTCAGGACCAGTAAGGAAATGAAATACACTCTACTTTCTTTGTTGTTTTTTTGTTGTTGTTTTCTTTTTGAGACAGTTTCACTTTTGTTGCCTGGACTGGAGTGCAATGGCCCGATCTCAGCTCACTGCAACTTCCATCTCCCGGGTTCACGTGATTCTCTTGCCTCAGCCTCCCGAGTAGCCGGGATTACAGGCATGCGGCACCATACCCAGCTAATTTTGTATTTTTAATAGAGACAGGGTTTCTCCATGTTGGTCAGGCTGGTCTCGAACTTCTGACCTCAGGTGATCCATCCGCCTCGGCACCTGAAACTGCTGGGATTACCAGGAGTGTGCCACTGTGCCCAGCAACACCCTCCACTTTCTTCCCTGATAGAATCTAATAAGCTCAGGCCTCCCTGAATGCTTGCGTCCATGAAGCCAGGTGATCCTGTACTGTTGTCTGTGTTAGGGACAAGGTGCCTCAGAAAACCCCTCCACGCAAACTGATCGCCCCCCAACTCTGATTACTCTACAGCTGCATTTCTGAACTCCTATCTGGGTGCTACAATCAAGCAAATCCTGATTACAGCCATCTGGGCAGCTTGGGGGAAGACAGGGAAAACAAATGTTTGTTATCCATACTTTCAAATTCCTGTTTGACACATACCTGTAAAATCCTTTTTTAAAAATGCCACCACAAAAGTCACAGAATGATGTACTGTAACTCTGCCACAAGCTAACCAACTATCTCTGTGCCTGTTACAAGCTGACAGATTATCTCAGTCCTGAAACTCCCTTATGCCCCACTCGCCCCATTTAAACCACTCGTTTGTAAGCTTGGGGCTGCCTCCTCTGACTGTTACGAGGCAGCCCGGCAGGTTAATAAAACTTGCTTGCCTGACTTTAGGTCTATTCTCCTTTCTCTCGACTAACTCTACGGTTTGACCTGAGTGTCTCAATGCAGTACGTCAGCTCTACCACCTAGCTGACCTACAAGGATTCAATCTCAAAGGGCCCCAACGTCCTCTCCTCTCTGCTCTGTTCTTTCTTTAACCTTTGGGAGACTTTACAAGCCTAAACTTTGACCCAGTGAATTTCTTCGAAATTCTCCAAATTTCTAGTGTCCTCACAATGATTTCACAGCCCCCAGTCTGCTTGCTTTTCCAGGAGCTCCGCCTCACAATCTGTTCCCTGCAAGCGCCGATGGACCCCAGGTTCCATCCTCCCGGCTCCGTCCATCTCAACGCATTGCCCGCGCCCGTCCCTGTGTCTGTCGCTCTCCCCACTGCATCCCATGGGCGTCTGAAACCAGGAACCCTTCTGCGAGCGCCCCATTATTCCGACTGCGGGTCTGGGTTGTAGCGCCAGGAGCAGGTGCCGCTCCCTAGCTGCTTTAGGACTTGCCTGACTGCAGGTGCCCGAGCGCACGAAAGGCGCCACAATTACCTGAACCGGGAACCTCGGAGCAGCCTCCGCCATGGAACCACGTGGGATAAGCTGGGTTGGGAGCGGTGGGCGCCGTGAAGGAGCTGCAGAGTTATGTCTGTACAGATAGAAGGCCGACTCTCGACCTTCCAGGGCTCTCACCCAACAAACAACACTAACGCCAAACCAAATGGCCGCTACTGGAGAGAGCCGGAAGTCCCACCTTTTCATTACGTGCCCTCGCCGAACCGCCTTCAATCTGAGCCCTAACTGGCTCTGCCACGCTGTCATTTGGCGCAGAGCTTTCTGGGTAATGTAGTTTCCCAGGTTCCGAGGCGATTAGAGAGCGACTCCAGGGGCGCTTCCGCAGGAAAACCCCGCCTCCACCCTCCAGGCTCTCAAGAGCACCCGTCTGTAATCCCGAATTTTGGGAGGCTGAGGTGGCAGGACCGCTTGAGCCCAGGAAGTCAAGGATGCACTGACCTATGATTGCGCCGCTGCACTCCAGCCTGGGCGACAGACTGTGTCTTAACAGAAAAAAAAAATTAAGCATTTGTGCTGTGAAAGAAGATTCAAGAAAATAATAAAAACAAATCAGTATTTGCTAATGGTGTCTCCTGGAAACCCTTTTCTACGCATTAAAAAGCTGCTCTGGCCTAGGCGCAGTGGCTCACGCCTGCCTGTAATCCCAGCACTGAGAGGCCGAGGCGATTCACTTGAGGCCAGGAGTTCGAAACCACCCTGGCCAACATAGGTAACACCCGTTGTCAGGCCTCCATGTGCAAACCTGGACCCAGGAAGTCTGAAGTCCTGCCTGCCTCGGCTGATCGCCCCCCCCCCCGCCCCAGCAACCCCTGCCTGCGTTCGCCATTATCCCTGATCGCCCAGCAGAGCTTTCCCCGGATATTAAGATTCTAACCCCATATTGCCATCTTAACTGTTCGTGCTCTGTGAATATCCCTTCGACCCACCCTATCATCTTAACTACTCTTACGCCTTTCCCACCCACCACTGTAACTGAACTTACTCAATAACACCCTTGCCCCCTCCCCAAAAGATTTGCACCAACCCATAAAAGCAACTCCTAACCCACCGCCCTTCGCTGACGCTCTTTTTGGCCTCAGCCCAACTGCACCCAGATAAATAAAACAGCCATGTTGCTCACACAAAGCCTGTTTGGGGGGTTCTTGATTCAAAGCGCGCGTTTTAGCACCCGTCTCTGCCAAAAGTACAAAAAATTAGCCAGTCATGGTGACGTGCACCTGTAGTCCCAGCTACTCCTACCTCAACCTTCCAAAATACTGGGATTACAGACGTTAAAACGCTCGCTCTGAATAAAGAGATCACCCCCAACCAGGCTTTGTGTGAGTAACATAGCTCATTATGCACCTGGGTGCAGGCGGGATGAGGCCAAAAAGGGGGTCAGCGAAGGTGGGTGGGATAGGAGTTGCGTTTTATAGGTTTGGGATGAACAGTGGAAAGTTACAAGTTACAGATGGCGTTTTTTTGCAAGCTGCGATGGGGTCGTAGGGTGCCAAGGTCAGTTACAAAGTCCAATGGCCTTGTCAATTAAGGCCGGAATAAGAAAAAATAGAAGACGGTCTCAGGTTAGTTAGGCGCCCCAGGGGTTGATCGTTCTTCCTTCTAGCTACTTCAGGTTTTCTAATTTCGGAAGGCACTCCGGAGGTGAACATGCAGTTCATGGGGGTCGCCATGCGGTCCAAGGCGCAGTCAGACCTTACAAGAGACACTACCATTACCCACCCCATCTGGCATGCAATAACTGTTGTACTGGACTGAGCATAGAAAGTTAGCACCAAGACAAAAGTATGCCAGATTGCAGGGTCATTTATTATGCCGGTGACCACAGAGGACTCACATCTCTCCAGCCTGTGGTGTCGAAAGGAGGGTGCCAAGACTTTTTATACCCGAAAAACCACCTTGGGAGTGGGGGTGAGGAGCGGGGATGGGGATGAAAAGGCTCCAGACATTCCAAGGGCTAGTGGATTCTGTAAATCACCTCCTGGGCGGAGGTGGGTGTCTCCGGACATTCCAAGGGCCAGGGGACTTTTGTCATTCTGTTTGTTACTTCAGTGGTTTACAGAAGTCAAGATAAGCATTTGTTTACACATTGTCTGGGTAGTGACAGAAGTCACAGATCTTAGTTACTTATTACAAGTCACAGGAGCCAGGATGGAATTAGCCTGGGCTGCTTATTTTAGATATTACCAGTAAGCAAAGGCTAGCAATTCTGGCAGTTACTGATAAGAAAAGGTAAGCAGTTTTACATAGTTTGCAGAACAAACTAGCAGTTCTATTTACAGAAGCCAAGGCCAGCAGTTATTGTGAGGAGAATGGGGCAGCCGTTGCAACTTATTTTTAAAAGTTTTGCATTTTATAAAAATGGCGTTGCTCAGGTTCTGGCTCTAGGCCAGCACAATATCACATAACAATCCTAGGAAGATTTTTATAAAACCTAGGCTTTGGGCCGAGTGCGGTGACTCACGCCCCTGCACTTGAGCCTGGGTGACAGAGTGAGACCCAATCTCAAAGTGCTGGCATATTCAAGGCTATCAAATCAGGAAATCACTGACATATTATACTTACAAGTAAATGAAGAAATACAAATTCGTACTGTGATATTGTGCTGGCCTAAAGCCAGAACCAGAGCAAAACTATTTTATAAAATGCAAAACTGTTTTTAGATAAGTTGAAATGGCTGCCCCATTCTCCTTACAATAACTACTGTCCTTGGCCTCTGTAAATAGAACTGCTAGTTTGTTCTTCAAAACTATGTAAAGCTGCTTACCTTTTCTTATCAGTAACTGCCAGAATTGCTAGCCTTTGCTTACCTGCAA